ACGCGCCACTCCAGGCAACCCTGATGCACTGAATGAAATGTTTGCTGCGACGTCAGAGTCCAGAGCTGCAGATGATCGGCAGACGAAACCGTGTGCCGCCCTGTCTAAGGCGTGTGTGGTGGGTCTGGAGCAGGGTGATGCGGCTGGTCCCAGTGGGCGGCTGGGGGATGGGGTGTGGAGGACTCAGGAGAGGCCCAGGAGGCCCAGCCTGCAAGCCCAGCACTCAGTAGACGTTCTCAGGGTGTAAGCTGCTTTGTGGGTGACCAGATGCAGTTTTGGGGGCCAGGAGGGCTGTCGACGTTTTCAGCTGTGACCCTTGAGTTGTTCATCTTTGCTGTCCATGGTCCAAAATTCATCAGTGTTGCTGAGGCTTCTCCTTTGCTGGGAGAGTGGCAATGGATGCACACGAACACCGGTCACTGAGGGGACTCTCATGCCCTGGGTGCCAGGCCAGCGCTGGCAGACGCTCAGGGTCCAAAGCCCTTTCCCGGCCATCTCAGGGATGTCATCGCTGCCACTCTCCTCCACGTGGGCAGCTTGCTGGGGACAGCCTTTTGCGTGTCTCTGTTACTGAGAAGCTGGAAGAATCCGTGGATTTTGGTGGCCTGATGTCCGAGATGAGGGACTTTTTGTGTTCTCGAGGTTCGGAAAGAGAGGGGTATGACTGATAGGATCAGGGAACCAGAGCAGACCAAGAAACTCTCCATTGGAAATTTAAAAAAATACCTTGCTAAGCCCCTCGCCGTCCCAGGTCTGGGACTTGCGCGTGTCCGGGGGCCACAGGTGCCTGTGCAAGTGCCTTTTCCGAGCGCAGCTCTCCCACAGGAGCCCGCTCTTGGGGAGCTGTTTCTCCCAGTGTGGGGGGTCTGTGGGCAGCAGCTGAGAAGGCGCCTGTAGGCTCAGCAGTCGGCCCCTGGGGACTCACGACGATGCCACGATGATGCTCCCGGGGGGCGAGCGCCTGCAGCCGGGACCCCAGGATTCGAGACTGCCTGCCCTCGGACACCTCCTTCCTGAGTTCTGTCTCCAGGGCCCCCTGAACCTACCGAGAGTCGGTTTAACTAAAATCTGGAGGATCAAGTTAAAACAAGAAGAACAGAAAGGAGAAAGGCAAAGGGGGAGAGACGGGGGTGTTTCCGTCAAGTCCTGGAGGTGCTGGCCCCGGGGGGCTCCCTCACTCACCTCGTTGGGCTCCCAAAGCCAGACGTCGAAGGTGGGCTTGCGCAGGCCCTCTATGGTCTCCGGGGAGAGCAGGTACTGGAAAGACAGGCGGTGGCGTTAGCCTCTGTGCTGACGGTGGGTGTCATCTCCTGTCCCCTCCCAGGGACACCTGCACACAGACCTGAAGGTACATTCTACAAGGATCCTGGGATGGGCAGACTCTAGGGACAGGAATCCCATCAGTGGCTGCCCCAGGCAGGGTGAGAGTGCCGGGCACAGCCACAGGGGCAGGAGGGACAGTTCTGGAGTGATGGAAACGCTTCATCCCTTGACCGTGGTGGACATTATGTGACCACAAGTTTGTCAAAATTCACAATACAAGGTACCTACAGAAGATGAACTCACTGCATGTATGTTATACCTCATAAACCTGACTCAAAAAAAATGTGGTAACATGAAGTCAATGGAAAAAAATTACGTGGCATAAATTCAAATATGGGTTAAGAGTTTCTTTCTGTGGGGAGCCCATCCCTGGTTTAGCTGTGGGCCGAGGCAGGTTCTGCAGACACCAGATTTGGGGTTAAACCGTGATAGAAAACAGAAACTGCGATTTTAGACAGAAGATACGGTGTTTCTGAATTAGATATCAATTCTCCCAGGTTTACGGGGTTTTGATTTTTTTTTTAAGGAACTGCAATGGGACACTGAGACCCTTTATTTTGGACCTTGTGAGCTCTGGGCTTGTGAGCTCTGGGGCTGGAACATGAGAGATGTCGGTCACATTTTCCTATGGGAAAGACATCAGTATCTGTCTGAAAACCTTGAACAGCCAGCAGGGCCCCGGCCCCTGAGAGCGAGCGGGAGCCTGAATATTAGCTCCAGAGGGTGTTGAAAATCAGTTGGGCAGGGGCCCGCTCACCAGTCAGCGAGGGTACTGTTGAGGTGGGTGACCCTCACCCTGAGACCCTTCTTCTGTACTTGTTTGAAGACCCCCTCCCAATTCCCAGGGAGAGCTGCTTTAACAAGGGCCCGGGGTTGATTGTAACTGAGAAATCTTTTGTGACCGAAAAGCAAAACTTCGCATAATAACTGTGTATTGTTCAGGGACAGGAGATCCAAAAAAGCAGATTTTAAAAATGTACTTAAAAATTTAACTCCTGGCACAGTAAGCTATGGTCTGGGAACAGTTTTTTTAAACAAATGTCAAAGAGAAAAATATTCTGCTTAAGAATAGCAGGGGCGGCCCGATTCTGCACATGTGCAGATGTCAGGGGCCGGGCCAGGAGGCCAGGGTGGCTGAGGGTGGCCGAGGGTGGCCCTGTGCCCTGGGGCTGTGGACACAGATGCTGTTTCTTCAGAGGCAGAATTTCATCTTACCTTGGGATAGGTGGGGACATCGCGTCGAGGCGTCAACTTCTTGTCTTTATCCAAAAAACTATATTTACAGGGACAGCTGGTCCTAAAGAGGGAAGCAGAGATGAGTTTTGGCACTGTCACTTCAGGCTGGCGTTCAGGTGGGCTGCCGACTGTGGGGACCTCCTCCGAGCAAAGAGAAACAAAAACCCCGCACCAACCCCAAAGCAAACCCCGGACCCTTTGGTCGGATCTGCCGCGGGAGAGTAAATCCTAACGCCGGTGGGTCTCACCGCTGGTCCCAGGGCTGGACCCCTGAGGCTGGCACTGAGCTCATGGAGACCTCCTGCCTCTGTTACAGAGAAGCCTCCAAAAACGTTTTAAAATGAGGAAAGCAAAACACTTTCATACCCCCAAATTCAAATAACACAGGAGTAGACAAAGTAAAATNAGAGAAGCCTCCAAAAACGTTTTAAAATGAGGAAAGCAAAACACTTTCATCCCCCCAAATTCAAATAACACAGGAGTAGACAAAGTAAAATTAAAAACCTCCAACTCCCCGTTTCACCCACTTCTTTCCTCTTTTGTTTTCCTTTGTTAATCTTCACCTGAGGATATTTTTTCCACTGATTTTTTAGAGAGCGTGGAAGGGAGGGGGAGAGACACAGAGAGAGAGAAACATCGATATGAAAGAGACACAATGATTGGCTGTCTCCCGCACGTGTCCCATCCGGGGCCGGGGATTGAGCCTGCAAGGTAGGTGCCCTTGGCCCGAATTGAACCCGGGACCCTGCAGTCCGCGGGCCGGCGCTCTAACCGCTGAGCAAACCAGCCAGGGCCCCACTTCTTTCCTCTTAAATCTCACCCCGTGGAAGTCCCTCCTGCTATCTGGGGACTTCTTCCAGAAGATCCTAGCCGTGGACACACATGGACAGCCCCGCGCTTTTCAACGAAGATGANCTTCTTCCAGAAGATCCTAGCTGTGGACACACATGGACAGCCCCGCGCTTTTCAATGAAGATGAAACTGTACAAACTTACTCTTCTGCAACTAGTTGTTTTCACTGAACACACCACAAGCTTCCTGGGGCTGCCTCACAGAGCTCGACTTACTGAAAGCAAGCCCTNAGCTTCCTGGGGCTGCCTCACAGAGCTCGACTTACTGAAAGTAAGCCCTTCCCCGGTGCCCTCGGGTGTGGCCACACTGCAGGGTATCAGCCCAGCCCCAAGACGGACTCCCAGGGTGTCCCAGTGTTTCCCGTTACATACACACCGACAGAGGAGTCTGCTCTCCGGCTCCGTTTTCCTCATTACTCAATGTCAAGGTATCCGAAGAGGAACAGAACAGAAGGAGCCAGGTGTGCTCTGGGTGGAAAGCCACCCTCCGGCATCGGGGAGAGTGCGCCGGCCTGGGGGGTCGTACCCGGGGGCTCGACGTAGAGGCCACTCTAGGAGATCTGGCTGCTCCGTGGCCCCTCCCCACCTGGGGACCCCATCTTGGACACAAACAAGCTCTCCACCCTCCCGCTGATGGGGAGCTGGAGGGCACGGGGGTGTCTGCACCCCTTCATTTGAGATTCTCAGGCTGGTAGGCAGGGGGCCAGGCCATCAACGTGCAACAGCGGCAGCTCATGCGGTTTGTAAATAAAGTTCCACCTTCAGGGAGAGCCACTTAATACTGTAGAATATAGAGCCGGGAAGACATTCAGATCCTTGAAGTTCGAATGTCTACTCAGGGGAGTTTACCCTGAGAAGAATTAGACACAGCAAACAGCCCTGCGCAGGAAGGTATTATCCATCCATCGCTGAGTTATCTGTTGTTATAAAAGCACCGAGCCAAACAAGCTACCTAAATGGCCCCGAGTGGGAACTAATTTAAACCACTTTGCTACTGTGTGATCTTTAAGATAATTAAGAAAATGACGTGCAGCAAGGAGATTTTGGGTGAAAAGGAAAAAAAGAAACGCCGCCTATGGTGTGTGCTGAATGGGAAACACCCGCCGAGGGCGAGGAGACCCGCGCACCCTGGGGCGGGACGGCGAGTCTGCGCTGCGCCCCCGGACGAATGTATTCTGTGGGTTAAATCTGACCCACTTACCACTCACAACACCATAAGTGACAAAAATGACAATATATTTTTCAGTTGTTTTTCAAAACTAGGTGTCTATACACAAAAAAAATCTGGGAAATCAGCGTCTAGATTTCAGTTGGGGGCATCGTGGCAGCTGTCGTTTTGGTGATTCACCCCCTCCCCCCGCCCCCG